TTACTAAATCCCTAAGACATTTTATATTAATGATTTATTCTCAAAATCATGTTTAATAATAAAGACCTCATTGTTTTTCCATTATTTCATCAAAAACTATTGACTATGTTAAGGACTATGGTGGATACTGGAATAGTAGAATAAACTTGGCAAAGGATTTGTCATGGGCAAGTGGAATAAATAAGCATGTAAAATATGTTTAATGTTTAATGTAATTAGTTGATTTTAATGGTCTTTGAAAGAAAAGACACAAACCCGGATCCCAGAAACTGGGCTTCTACACCGTTATTTATACACAGAAATATCTACAATCTCTTATTCATTTGACTTACTGATTATATATTTATCGTTGTTATTCATATACATTAGATGAACTAAAACTTAAGTAAATTACTTTCTAGTAAATTAAGTAGCATTATATTAAATAGACAGCAATCAGGTATCTATTGGTATATTTCTGTGATACATTTCCAACTCCCTAATACTAAGAATTGTTTCTGTTCTGATCGGGTTGCTATTTCTCTTTTAACTGGTTAGCCTATATTCCTCTTAGACCCTCATCATGGGATCCTTCTTGGATTCTACTGATGCCTCGTTGGAATTACAGCATCAGCAGCAGCTAGTCCTCAGAGTTATTCCTCTTTCCATTTCTACCTGCACAATGACCAGCGGCTTTCCCCACTTACTAGGTAGTAAGGTAAGTGGGGAAAGATCAGGTAAAAGATCCCACAGTTTTTAATTCTTTCTGAATCTCAGCGCCCTGGGTCTTTTGGCTAGTGACCTCAGCATTCTGTCCACATGTAGAAAACTCAGGAATGGTTTTGAAAACACTCTTTTCATAGAAAGTAACTGGGACTGAATTCAATGATGCTAAAGTTTCCAGACATGTAGCAGTTCAGGAATAAAAGCTTGAATTAAAATAGCACTACAAATTCAATAGGGCTGAAGTGACAGCACAGTGGGTAGGGCATGTGCCTTACACGCAGGCAACATGGCTGACTGGAATTCGATTCCTCCACCCCTCTCAGAGAGCCTGGCAAGCTACTGAGAGTATCTCGCCCGCACAGCAAAGCCTGGCAAGCTACCCGTGACATAATCGATATGCCAAACACAGTAACAATTGTCACAATGGAGACGTTACTGGGCCCGCTTGAGTAAATCAATGAACAACGGGAGGACAGTGACAGTGACAAATTCAATAAAAAAATTGTTCTTTATTATATGTGTAAAATATGTGTATAGCTTTTGTTGCTGTGAACTGTTGTTTCTGGAAACCTAAAATATTGAACTGATATAAAAGATGATAAATAAATGACAGTGGAATCAAATACATGCTTCTCTGCTTTTTCGGTTAACTTTCCTGAGTTTACAATGTTTTTTGTTCTTTCATAATATCTAGGTAAATATTGGGGGGTGTGGTTTGGGCCAGAGGTGGCAATAGTCAATGCTTACTCTGTCATTGTGCTCAGGGATCACTTCTTGTCCTGCTCAGGGGACCATATATGGTTCCAGAGATCAAACCAGAGTCAGTCACATGTAAGGTAAGTGCCTGAACTCCGGTACCATATCTCCAGCCCCTGGAAAAAAAAATATTTAAAAAAAAAATCCAGCTCATTTTTTTTCCCCCTCCAAGAAGATCTTCATGATTCTGACAGGGTTGTCTGGTGCTACTGCTGCCTACTGATCCTATTTTGCACTCCTCATGCTGGACTGTCATTGTGGTTGCTTTGTTTTTAAAATAAATCCTTTTCTTTATCTTCAATTGTGAACACGTGAGCAGGTGCTGACTTTAGCCTTTCTGCTTTTCTCAGGCACAGCACAATGGTTAGAAACAATAGCCATTCAATATACACTGACAAAATGAAAAAAAAGAAATGGCCACATTGAAACCAGCCAGGTGCAGTTTGAAAGATTATTGCTCCAGATTGAATTGTGTCTTCTCAAAATATTAACATGTTACATCCCTGGCCCCCAGGTGAATGCATCCTGAACTGGTGCCTTTAGGAGATAAGTGGATTTAGATGAGGTTATAAGGGCAGGGAAACTCAGAGGGGAGGGGAGCTCTTTCAGAAGATGCCACACCAGTCTGATTACCCCCACTCCAAGCCTTGGGAGGGCACAGCAGGAAGTCAAGCCAGAGGAGATCCCTGAACTCCACCTAGCTGGCAGAGTTCCAATCTAAAAGAAAGCAAACCTGTGCACTTAAGCCATTCAGTCTATTGTATTTGGTCCTGGCAGATAAAGCTAAGTAATACTACTGCACACTGGGATTAAATTATTTTATGTGATCATTAATCTGATCATTATAGCTATTCAAATCCTTGAACAGTGGGTGTTTGGTTATTTGAGGTGGGGTGGGAAATTTTTTCAGATTACTTGCTTTGTGGAGCAGGGAGAATCTTCCCAGCAGTGAATAGGAACCTGGGAAACCCTGCCCCTAAGTCACTCCTGATAATACACGGGCAGGTGGTCCCAGTCAGATGAGGCCATGCTCAGATCCTACAATTTGGTGCTATTTGGACCCTGGGGTGAGATCACCAGGGCCACCCTGGAGTCCGCACGTATTGGAGTGAGTAAGACTCAGAGTTTCACCTCCAATCCTTTGACCTATTTCTCCAATCCAAGTCCTTTTTGGTTTCTTCATGTTTTTCTTTTCTAAAATAAGGGTCAGATAAGTGCATTTAGAGGAGATCATTTTTCTATATAATTTTTTCTTCCTTCTCTCCAAATTTGAGGCATAATTTTTGGGGCTTTTTGGTAAATGAAGAAGCCTGACATAAACATAATCTGTTAAAAAAATAAACTGACTTTGCAGAATAATAATTAACCAACAGGGGGCAGGAGCAATAGTACAGCGGGTAGGGCATTTGCCTTGCACACGGCTGACCCGGATTTGATTCCCAGCAATCCATATGGTCCCCTGAGCACCACCAGGAGAAATTTTTGAGTGCGGAGCCAGAAGTAATCCCTGTGTATCGCTGGGTTATGATTCAAAAAAAGCAAAAAAATATAAATAAATAAAAGAAAAATAAATTAACCAACAGGGAAAAACAAGTGACCCAGGGATTGTGTCATCCATTATAAATCACCAGGTTTCCTTTTTCTTTCCCTTTAGAGATGGCATTCATTGAGAATCCAATATGTTCTCATGTTACTTGCAATTTGCTGGAAATTATATCTTTGTTTTGTTTTGGGGGCATACCCAGTAACACAAAGTCTGCTGCCCCTGTGCTTGGCTGTCCCCACCAGGGGCCCCTTGGAGGGGGAAGGGTTGAGTTTCCCTCTCCACCCCTAGCAGAGTCCTGGTAGCTGAAGACCTCTGAAATCCAGTCACAGCCATGCTTAAGAACATTCTCAACATGCTCCGACGAGCCTCACGCATGAAGGAGCCAGCAGAAGAACCCAGGTGTGTGGGACCTGAGGCTGAGATCTCCAAGCCTGCTTGGATCAGGACTGGGTCTCCTCCACCCAGATCCCCCATCTTCCAGTAGCTAGGCATTACACCCACCAACTGCCCCTGGCACCATGTAATCCCATCAATGGTCAAGACCTAGAGACTATAAAACCAAGCTCCTGGGAAGCGAATTCTTATTGTCTAGTTCTCACTCTCGGAGAGCCCGGCAAGCTACAGAGAGTATCCTGCCTGCATGGCAGAGTCTGGCAAGCTCCCCATGGCGTATCCGATATACCAAAATTCAGTAACAGTGATGGGTCTCATTCCCCTGATCCTGAAAGAGCCTCCAATGTGGCACTTGCTAAAATCTCAGAGCTAGGATGAACAGAGACATTACTGGTGCCTGCTTGAGGAAATCGATGAACAATGGGATTACAGTGATACAGTGATACCCAGTAATGCTCAGGGTTTACTCATGACTTTTTGCTGAGATATCACCCCTTGGAGTGCTTGAAGGATGATGTGTGATGCCAGGGATCAAATCAGGATCAGCAGCATACAAAGCAAGCACCTCGCCCCTATATTATCTCTCCACCCCTGAATCTTAATTTTGTTTGTCATAAAATTGAGAACATATTTAAGGTCTCAGGAGAACTCCATAATTTATTATTTATTTATTCAATAACTAATTATTGTGTACTGTAGAAATAAAATTTTATGTAGAAAGTCAATTTAAGCTAATTTCTTTCCAGCACTGTTTGGAGACTGAGGCCTTATCTGGTGAATTTAAAGGTAAGGTAAAGGTAAAGGCCCTCCCGTTGATCGTCGATTTGCTCGAGCGGGCCCAGTAACGTCTCCATTGGAGACTTTGTTGTTACTGTGTCTGGCATATCGAATACTCTCGGTAGCTTGCCGGGCTCTCCGAGAGGGGCGGAGGAATCGAACTCAGGTCGGCCATGTTGGCCGCTTGTAAGGCGAACGCCCAAGCATAACAATGAAGTGGATTATGTGATCAATATTTACACTACAAATTTTATGGATAAGTAACCTGTTAAAAACTGGGGAAACTCAACGTGTTGGTCACTGTTTCCTCCCCCCAAATAATAACATTTAAAACAATTTATACCACTATTAGAAATGCCAAAGTATTTTAACACAAAATAACCAAAGAACATGATTTCAGCAAGACTAATGAATGATTTTCAAAGCACTATAATTATTTTTATGGGGAAGAATATCCACTGTATTCTTTATTGTTTTTTCAACCAAGGCTAGTGAAGCTTTATTAGAAAATCTATCTCTGGATTAACTAGAGAAAGGTCTTCCATCTCTCCCTGTATTGTTCCTGAAAGTTCCACTTTGATTTTCCTTGTTACTATTCAAAGTCCCTTCTTTTACAATTCTCAATACTTAGGAATTCTTAAGGCTAGTTATTGAAACAAAAATCAAATTTAGTTAAACCCATAGTACCTGGACTCATATGCAATTATGTTTACTTCTGTTAATCCTTTTGGTACAATGACTAATTTATATTTCCACATTTATACTATGTTATATACCTATATGATGAATATAAACCAAGATCAAAAAATATAACAAAACTTACATGTATGGACCTAATGAAACTGCCCTTGTCATTACAATCCCAAGAATTATAGTTGTTAAGAGTGTTGAAATAAGAGAGATCTGTAAAAGAAAATATAAAATTACCATCAGTTTAGAATAGTTTGTTTTGCTGGAAATATTAGGTGTTTCTCCTTTCACTTCAATAAACTTGTGTATTTTTTAGAGAGTGACACATTAGTGATCTCTCACATGCAAGATATAAAGGTACATCACAGTGATATAATGAATACCCAAAGACAATGGAAACCGAAAGAGAAACCTGGTATGCAGTAAGAAACATGCCAATGAAGAGTCTGGGAATAGGACAGAGACATCTGTGATATAGGGAAGCATTCAATAGGAGGAGGAGATAGTGTTGAAAGGTGATAAAATGTTATGTATGAAATGCTATCAACAACAGTACTATAAACCACTGGGTAAAAACATTTGTACAAGCAAACTGTGGGCAAGAGGCAAATAGGGAAGGGGAGGCAGTAGACAGTGGTGAAAGGATCACTGTCACTGTCAAACACTGTCCTCCCATTGTTCATCGATTTGCTCCAGCGGGCCCAGTCACGTCTCCATTTTGAGACTTGTTACTGTATTTGGCATATTGAATACATCACGAGTAGCTTGTCAGGCTTTGCCATGCGGGGGAGATACTCTCAGTAGCTTGCCGGGCTCTCCGAGAGGGGTGGAGGAATCGAATTCGGGTCGGCCATGTTGGCTGCGTGCAAGGCAAACGCCCTACCTGCTGTGCTATCGCTCCAGCCAGTGTCTGAAATATTATCTGACTGAAACTCAACCATGAATAACTTTGTAATTTCACAGAGACTGAATTAAAAAATTAAATATATAATTATTCAATAGTTTATAGGCTACTATTCATAATCTCTCATAGACTCAAGTATATACGTTTATATCAGATTATCATCTTAAGCTTTTCTTTTAAATATGAAGCATGTATCACAGTGACTATTGTGATCTTGCTACATGATTTTAAATGATTTTAGTAGCTTCTTCTTATGCAGAACATGAAATGAGGTTTTCAAATTACATTATGAAAGTTGAAGTGAAATTGCTTTCTTTTTATTTCAAATCCTATTTTTTCTGCTTTTTTTGTGTGCCTTTTTTTCTGTTTTAATTTTAGCCCCTTATTTCCAACATAGCATCCCTAATCCCAATACACAGTGTCTCACATTAACTTCTTGGTGTCCCACTGCTTTTTTTCTTTCAGCTGTCTAATCTGAGATTCCATGTTTCCTTTGTGGTTTGGCCTTTGCTTCCAAGTTCCTCTTTTCTCTCTTTTCTAACTGGGTTAAAATATAAACTTCTCTGTGTTTGTGTAATCTGTATGCTCATTATATTAAGCTTGTGTTTCTGATTTTAATTTTTAATACAGGATGTTTTATACTATTTCTGAGAAGAAAAATACATAAGTGTTTTCACTTAACCAACATGTTATTAACATTATTGTGTGAGCGATTAGCTTATCTAGAAAGAAGATGCTACTGTGAATTCTCTGATTTACTGAGAAACAAAGGTATTAACCTTCCCACGGTCTTGCAGGTAATAAGTAGCAGTGCTAGATCAGATCTCAGACTAGATCACAGCCCTGTTTTGCTCATTCTAAAACTAACTTAGAGACAGCAATGTGGTGATTTTTTTTCCCCAAACAATACTCAATACTTACTAAGAGAACACTATAATATGAGGAATTTTCTTTTCAAATGAAATAGAAGGCGTTTCTAAGAATTCATGTTGCAATATCCCACACTATGGGAACAATATTAACAATTGGCAGATATAGTAATGACACTTAAAAAGATATTTTAGGGAAAATATTCCATTAATGATATGATATAATGTTTGCTCTGTTTTTACAAATGCCTTGTCTCCTGTTTTCAGAAGATTTATTCTTATACTGAACATGTCAAATGGAGCATAGCTCAATCATTTCAGAAAATTTACCACCAAAATATCCTTTTTTATTTATCTTGTTATTTTCTTAATGTCTGTCAGGGAAAGAAGCTAAAGTTGTGTAAATACTCTACAGTGTCATTTCTATCCTCTGCTCTGTCTGGGTTTGAGATTTCATAACTATGGATAATGATCGAAGTGAAAAGTAAAAGTTTACATTAAGAAAGGTCTATTTATGCCTAGTTTCTACGAATTTCGTGCTGTTTTAAATAATGAAGGTAAAGGTAAAGGTAAAGGCCCTCCCGTTGATCGTCGATTTGCTCGAGCGGGCCCAGTAACGTCTCCATTGGAGACTTGGTTGTTACTGTGTCTGGCATATCGAATACTCTTGGTAGCTTGCCGGGCTCTCCGAGAGGGGCGGAGGAATCGAACTCGGGTCGGCCATGTTGGCCGCTTGTAAGGCGAACGCCCTACCCGCTGTGCTATCGCTCCATTTCCCGAAATAATGAATTAATGTTTTATTTATTTTAGATGTTCTTTCCATCTCTATTCAGGTGATTTTTTTTTACATCTACAGAGACTTATCTTTTACTTACTAATACAGATATTTAAGCATTATGTATAATATTTCCTAACAAAACCAACATTAACTTTTTAGTATAGACACACTTTAACATTTGTAGACCTATTCAGATTGTCCTTTAGTTTTTAAAAATTTTCATTTTTTTATTCTTCTAAACTGTATATTTGTAATTTTGTAATTATGTAAATTTTTAAATTGTATTAACATAGAATTATTTATACCATTATTTGTAATGTATATGGGCTGGAGCGATAGCACAGCGGTAGGGCGTTTGCCTTGCATGCAGCCAACATGGCTGACCCAAGTTCAATTCCTCCGCCCCTCTCAGAGAGCCCGGCAAGCTACCAAGAATAACAAGCCCCCATGGCAAAGCCTGGCAAGCTACCTGTGACGTATTCAATATGCCAAACACAGTAACAAGTCTTGTGATGGAGACGTTACTGGGCCCGCTCAAGCAAATCGATGAACAACGGGAGGACAGTGGTTTTTGTAATGTATATATCTATTAAAAGATACATTGTGGGGCAAATGAGAGTATCTAGCAATTTACTTCTTAAAAATAGATTACAAAAATAACATGAATAATTTTTGAAAGTTTTCCATTGTATGTGGTACTATGTAGATATAGTATCAATAATATTTTGAGTAAAAATACAAATGTCATATTGTAGCACTGTAGCAATATCCTCCTGTTGTTCATCGATTTGCTCGAGTGGGCACCAGTAACATCTCCATTGTGAGACTTGTTGTTACTGCTTTTGGAATATTGAATATGCCATGGGGAGCTTGCTAGGCTCTGCCATGAGGGTGGGATACTCTCGGTAACTTGCTAGGCTCTCCAAGAGGGATGGAGGAATCGAACCCGGGTCATCTGAGTGCAAGGCAAATGCCCTACCTGCTGTGCTATCACTCCAGTACAAATGTCACATTAGAATAAAAATATAAAATACAGCCAGATAAAGAGTAAACTATGTAAATGAGCATATGTGACTTGTTGAACAATTGAGTTGGTTTCATTAGCAAGATATTAATATTTTCTATGGTATTTGTGTGAATCATAAATACTGATCAAATTTTCAACAATTAATTAATCAAATCACTATTTAAAATCACTTGACAAGCATGACAAACATTCTAATTTATAAATTTTTAGTGATTAAAGCTAGATAGCACAGTGGGTAGGGCGTCTGCCTTGCACGCAGCCAACATGGCCGACCCGAGTTCGATTCCTCCGCCCCTCTCAGAGAGCCCGGCAAGCTACCGAGAGTATTCGATATGCCAGACACAGTAACAACAAAGTCTCCAATGGAGACGTTACTGGGCCCGCTTGAGCAAATCGATGATCAACGGGAGGGCCTTTATGCTTATATATTACTATTTAATTTCAAATTGTCTAAACTACTCTATAAAATGATATTTTATACAGGAAATTAAATCTTGGATCAAGTATAGTTTCTTATATTTTATAAATTAAAAGCTGTTTATATCAGAATATTATTTAAAAAAGGGAGAGTACAGCATGCATCAACTAATAACCATCAGTTTTACCTGATAAACTAAAGAATTAACCATAGTTTAGTTTACTATAAACAAAGTGAAATTAATGATAATTAAGAATCTGGGCATAAAGCCAGAAGTGTGAAAAAAATTAATGCAGGTAACAAAATGTATCTCTGGAGCTAAAGCTAGAGCTAGTACAATGGTTAGGGTGTTTGCCTTGAACAAAGCTGACCCGCTTTTGATCCCCTGCACTACATGTGGTTCTCCGAGCCCCAGGACAGGTCTCTGAGCACTGTGCCAGGAGTAAGCCCTCAGCACCACTGAGTGTACCTCAGAAAAAAAAGAAAAGCATTAGTCATCATATTTAAATGGAAAACCTGGGGTTAGAAAATAACTCAGTGGCTAACGCTCTGCTGAGTCAGTCTGGAGTCCTGAACTCAATCCCCAGTATCACCCTATGTGCTGAGCACCATCCTGGATGTTCTGCTGACCATGACTCTGAGTACCACAAGGGATTTTTTGGTAACACTGTAACCAGATATGTCCAAGCACCAAAATCGGAATGCACACCCCCATGAGCACTAAAGGAAGTGCTAGCACCACAGCCAATTCAGTACGCTTGTGTGTGAGCACCAGGACTGATTGTGAAGAACACAATGGCACAGCGTGCAAGCACGACCACCAAGTGTGTGTGGAGAGCATTGGCGGAGAGAAGGGAAAGGGAAAATGTGAAAATAAATGAACAAATGTCAAAATTACCTTCCCCAGCTTTGCTATATCCCGGTACAAGGACAAAGGCAGAGTAAAGATGACAGTGGTTAGCACAATAATGAAGTGACGACCAATAAACAAGTTTTCAGGATCAACTAAAACACAACAAATTAAAACATGTTTATAGTTATGAAGAATATACTACTGATACAAGTAAATATTTGTACCACAAAACAAACCCCAACTAAATAGCAAATATGACCCGACGACAATGGTTTGAAGACTAAGTAAATTTCATAAAAACACACTGATTAAAACAGATATTATTTATAATGCTGTAGATATAAAATAACATGAAAGAATCTATAGTTTAAGACTAAAATATTTTACATTCAAATCTATTATTATTATTATTATTATTATTATTATTATTTTGCTTTTTAGATCACTCCTGGCATTGCACAGTGGTTACTCCTGGCTCATGCACTCAGGAATTACTCTTGGCGGTGCTTGGGGGACCATATGGGATGCTGGGAATCGAACCTGGGTCAGCCACATGCAAGGCAAACACCTTACCTATTGTGCTATCACTCCCGCCCCTTATTATTATTATTGTTTTGGTTTTGGAGTCATATCTGGTAGTGCTCAGGACTTACTAAAGGCTCCATTCTCTAGAGAACATTCAGATTATTTTAATAACCTCCTAATCAGTTTCCCGGCTTCCACCTTGCTTTGTCCACTTACAGTGTATCCATAACCTAGACGTTACAGAGCTCATTTCCAAAGATAAAAGCATTGCAACTTCTTGTCCAACTCCCCCCTAGTGTCTTCTTTTTGAAAGCTACATGAACATAGGGCATGTTCTACTTTTTGTTTTATTTTAAACTTTTGTATCCCAAGGAGATTTAGACAGTAAAACAAAATTTTTTAAAATTCAAGATTTATATAACAGTCACTATATTGCTATACTTTGGTTAAGAAAGATCTGATTTCTCTGAAGGAAAACAGGCTGAATTTTGGATTATGTTGCAGACTCTTGTCTATCAGAATGAGTAAGCAACCACTCAGTGGACGTGAATGTATGTGTGCCTCAAATAAGAATTATAAACATAAAATCAATATTAAAAGATTGGTACATTTTAGGGGCTGGAGCGATAGTACAGCTGGCAGGGTGTTTGCCTTGCAAGCAAGTAGCCGCTGGGTTCGATCCCTGGTATCCCTTATGGTCCCCCAAGCACCTTCAGAAGTATTTCCTGAGTGCAGAGCCAGGAGTTAACACCTACACATCACCAGTTGTCACTCAAGAAGAAAAAAAAGTGGGGGATACATTTTAAGCTGTGCTAATTACAGCTTTCATGTCAGAAACAAAATATTAATTTCAATGTAGACACTGGTGCTTTACAATTTGTAGCTTTTACTGAATTCATTCAGAGATCCTGTCATATTTTTTAAATTGCCCTCAAGTCTTTGTGGATTAATTTCTGCAAATTGCAAAGCATATAGGAGCCAAGTCTATAATGAGAGTAATTTTATAATTTTAAATATGTATCAGAGAAAGAGGAAAGAAACAAATACATTTCTCTGAAAAAAATGAGATTAATTTTCTTATATGGCATACAACATAAGGAAACTTCAAGAGGGATGAATTGTACACAAGCACGCATGTGTAATGCAATTGAGAAAGGCAACAGTTACTCATGAGCATTTGTTTAGCTGCATCATAACTAAACAATTATAAATTTCTGAATTAAAATGTGAAAATATCAGTTCAATTTCCTAAAAGCCTAAATTACACTACTATATATTTTTGTGAAAAGAATTTGAATTAAATTATTTGCATATCTACTTCTGTTTAAAGTAATCCTTTAAATTACTTCTACTAATGTTTTGTAGAAAACATACTTGCTGACCTAGATGAAAATCCTAGAATTGTACCTAGAAGCATAATAACTGATAATCTTAATTAGGGTAATGGACATTTTGCACTAATCACATAATGAGATATATTGCCTATACTGATCTAAAAGTATGTGTGAGTAAAAATGTTAAATGTTAATATAAAATAGAGATATTAAAATTATAAAAATTACTAAAATTGCACAGAACATTACATTGTTTTCCAGTGTACAATCTACTAATTTAGTATTTGTGTGCATTCTTGAAACAACTGATCAGCCTTCATACACAGCTAACTTTAATGTTTACTGTCTTAACAACTTTTAAGTCTACCCTAAAATACTACTGATTATAATTATCATGCTTTATAGTACGTTTCCATGATTTATCTTTTTTATAACTAGATGTTTGATGGCTGTGGATATAGTTGCACAGTAGGGAAGTTGTCTTGCATGCGTGAGAGCCTAGTTTGATTCCTAACAGACCCCCTCTGCCAAAAAAAGATATAGTTGGAAATTTGTACCTCTTAATCCTCTTTACCCATTTTTCCCACCCTTCAATGCCCTTCCCCTCTGGAAACTATCATTCTTGTTTTTGTAACTACGGTTTTATTTATTTTTTTTCACTTTTTATGATACTTATAAATGAAATCATATAATTTGTCTTTCTATGACTTATTTTACTCAGCATTAATTATCTCCTAGTCATTCATATTGTTACAAATTAGATTTCATTGCTTTCTATAGCTAAGTAGCGGTACATTGTGTGTGTGTATGAGTGTGTGTGTGTGTGTGTATGTGTGTGTGTGATATCATATATTCTTTATCTATTCACCGAGGAATGGATATGAAGGTTGTAAAATACATTAGCTATTCTAAATAATGCCATGATAAACAAAGGAATAAAGATTTGTGTTTTCATTTTCTTTTTGAATAAATACCCAGAAGAAAAACTGCGAATAATGTGACAGAATATTGAATTTTTTTTTCTTTTTGGGTCACACCCAGAAATGCACAGGGGTTACTCCTGGTTCATGCACTCAGGAATTACTCCTGTCAGTGCTAGAGGGACTATAGGGGATGCTGGGAATCAAACCCGGGTCAATCATGTATAAGCAAATGCCCTACCCGCTATGCTACCGCTCCAGCCCCAGAATATTGAAATTTTGAAAATTTTAAAATCACTATACATTCTAATTCTTATATCAACATTTCTCATTACTTTGACTTGTTTGAAGAATTAATACTTTGGTTATTAGAAAAATTATAAGCAATAATCCATTTGTCAGCTTAAGACATTTCAGGGGGATATTATAGCTGTATATTAAGAAATTTAGAATTATTAAATTTAGAAAAATAAAGAAGTTTATTTACTTCTAAATAAATTGACATCACATTATACTTTATAAGATATACAAGCGGAGTGTACATTATAAAATCTCACATTCAACAATTGTCTAGAAATTGACAAAAACATAGTTTTTATTTTTCAGGATGATCTCATTTATATGTGGTACATATAATACTGGATGAGTAAATTTATTGTAGTAAAAAAGGAAGGCCTAGATTGCTCTTGATCCTGATAGAGAGGAGACAGAGAAGGTAAGAAATCAAGGTTGGTAAAAGAGAATAGGATGTAATGGATGAACAGGCAACAGGTCTTCGGTGATACCTGTGATATGAGTGAGCGGTACAGCCATATATACGAAACAGATACTCAACAAAACTGAAGATATGAGGTAAAACCTCAGCCACGGAAACTTTATAATACTCCTCTTAAGTTGATAGACAAGGATGGGGTGGGGGCTGGGGTGGGGAGGGAATATGGGAACACTTGTTTGACACTGGTGGTGGGACTGAATGTTAAAATAATATATGCACAAAACTCAACTATAAATAATTCTATAAATTACAGTTCTTTAATAATAAATAAATAAATTAAGAGTATAATGTTTTTGGCTTTTGTGATCTATTTTTAAAGGCCACTTTCTACTATTATATAATTAATAACTAGGAAGAGAATTTAGAAGGGAAATTATGCCTCATCTATGATTCTACAAGCATACATACAAATATTATTCAAGTATGCACTGTAGCACTGTCCTCCTGTTGTTCATCGATTTACTCGAGCAGGCACCAATAACGTCTCCAATGTCACCAGTAACAGTAACTTGTTGTTACTGTTTTTGGCATATCGAATACGCCATGGGGAGCTTTCCAGGTTTGCTGTGTGGGCAGGATACTCTCAGTAGCTTGCCAGGCTCTCTGAGAGGGGCAGAGGAATTGAACCCAGGTCGGCCACGTGCAAGGCAAATGCCCTACCTGCTGTGCTATTGCTCCAGCCATTCAAGTATATCACTCCATTATTCAAGTATATAATTCACAATTAAAGATTAATAAAAATTTATATTTAAAATGTTTATCTCAAAAAATATAAATTCTGCTCCATCCATATTTTCAATGGATTTTCTTCAAAAGAATACTGACCCTCCTTTAATAGAAAATATTCCTATGTGTTAATATAAGAAAGTGTCTCAATACAATGATAAGAAAAACAACAGCATATTATGGGACGCATATAGAATATTCTCTCATATGAATATTTGAAGTTATAGGCATTTTTACTCTGAAAACATACATAATTAATGGAAATAAAGGAAAGAAGAAAGGCAGTTGTTGGAGGACTGTCCAAATTTGATTGTCCTGAAAGAGATTATAAAAGTTTTCTATCATTTCCATTTATAAGTCTTTTCTAAATGACTTTTTTTCTAACACATGAGTATTGCTTGTCAAATACATAATTAGTTGATCACAGTCAGTAACAGTCCTCCCGTTGTTCATTGATTTGCTCGAGCGGGCCCAGTAACGTCTCCATCATGAAACTTGTTACTGTGTTTGGCATATCGAGCACAGCGGTAGGGCGTTTGCCTTGCGCACAGCCAGCCTGGCCGAGCCAGGTTTGATTCCTCCGCCCCTCTTGGAGAGCCTGGCAAGCTACCGAGAGTATTCAATATGCCAAACACGGTAACAAGAAGTCTCACAATGGAGACGTTACTGGGCCCGCTCGAGTAAATCGATGAACAACGGGAGGACAGTGTTTTGTTTTTGTTTGTGTTTGGCATACCAATACGTCATAAATAGCTTGCCAGGCTCTGCCGCGCGGGCGAGATACTCTCGGTAGCTCGCTGGGCTCTCTGAGAGGGGCAGAGGAATCGAACTCGGATCGGCCACGTTGGCCTCTTGTAAGGCAAAAAGAATTTTATGTCATATATTTTTATTTAAGAAACTTAGTGAAAAGTTTCATTAGTAACACTGGTTCAGTATAAGTAAGGCAAGGGCCTTAGACCCTGTACTATTTTTCTGGGCCCTAATTTTAATTTTTATAGCACTTTAGGTAACAGAGTTATACCAGTGTTAATTTACAGTATTAGTGCATGAAATTTCTAGACTCCACAATGAATTGATAATCAATTTACATGTGAATATTTTCCTCTTTTATTTAAAATTTACATAATTTGATTAAACATTTTTAATCTGTTTTTATTAAAAGACCATGATTTACAAAGTTGTTCATAATGGAGCTGTTTCAGGCATTTAGTGTTCCAACCCCACCAGTGTGACCTTCCCTCCAAAAAATTTACATAATTGGAAAATTTGAGTAAATGAGACAATTATTGTATAAATAGTGTCATAACTGCCCCATTTTACTTAATATTCACTGTACTAATATGAGCTAAGTTTATGAAACCAAATTGGGAAGTTGAGGGCTAGGACAGAAGGTTCAGACCATTCATGGTAACAGTATTAATAAATGAAAGTATTGTATAAGTCCACTGTATGGTAAGCACTGTGTACATTATCCTTTTTTTAAACTCAGTAACTCTACGCATCAGAAATATCAAAGTTTTCACTTAGAGATGAAAAGACTAGAACTCAAAGTGGGCATTAACCTTCTCAAGAACAGCAGATCCTTAGAAAGCAGTGGGTCTATAGTTTGATTTTTTAGATTTCCTGATTTCAGATTTCTCCAGACCCTGTGAGAGGAACAGGAAAAATTTCTTGCCCTAGATTTTTCTTTATTTTATTTTTGTATGTCTTCAGAACAGGCTGAAGAGATAACACAGCGGTAGGGTGTTTGCCTTGTGCACAGCCGGCTTGGCCCAGCCAGGTTCGATTACTTTGCCCCTCTCGGAGAGGCCAGCAAGCTACTGAGAGTATCTCGCCTGCACTACTCTCGCCTGTGCGGCAAAGCCTAGCAAGATACCCGTGACGTATTCAATATGCCAAACACAGTAACAACAAGTCTCACGATGGAGACAGTTACTGGGCCCCCAGCAAATCCATGAATAACAGGAGGACAGTGCTACAGTGTTTCAGAACAAATGATTCAAGAACTGAAAATAAGTACTTTTTACATCAATCCAACTACAACAGCAACTGTAGAGCTAGGTCACATTCCAATATGACTTGAGAGTCTCTTTAAAGAAAGATCTTTTAATTTCTGAATTACTCAAATAATAATGATATGGTAAAAGCTGTAGTATTATGGTAGATGCTGTAATATTTATAGAGGCCTTTTTGTAGTCATCCCAAACCACCTAAATGTTGCTCAAGTATTGTGTATTAGATAGACTGTTGTAAGCTCTGTGATGAAGCTGTTGTAAGTTATATGATGAAATATTCTTCAGCAGTTAAAAAATAAGAGCAAGCAACTAATATACTCAGATACATAAATTAAACTCTAATGCACTATGCAGTGACAGAAGACAGACTTGAAACAGTAGATAATGTATGGTATCATTTTTCTGGCATTCTGGAAAGGCAAAACTTGGGAGAAAAATCAGATCTGTGGTTGCTGAAGGCTGGAGATGAGGTTAACCAAAAAGCAGAATAGAAAAAAATATGGGAGAGGTGATAAAATTGCTTTGCATTTTGGTTGTGGTTGTGGTTATATGACTATAAAAATTTGTTAAAATAAGTATGATACATCAAAAAATATTAGACTATATTAGTTATACTCTGATGGAATAAAGGAAGGAAAGGTCTCTTTGCTTATTTAACAAATGGCATACAAAAATAATTTATGAGAGAATGCTCATAACAAGAGCAAGGCATATATAACAGAATATATTTAAAATATAAACCATTTAACATTATAACATCATATTAACATAATATAGTATAATGAATGAATGTTGGTAATACAAATTACTATTAACTAAGTATAATAATATATTTAAAAGTACATTAGGATCATAGATATTATTAGATATTTGAAGTCATCCAATTCCTCCATTTGCAAAAAATTTGCTTATAAATTATTATGAACCACATAACCCTCCCTGCCCTGAGCAGAGCCCTGGAAGCTAATGACCTCCGGAACCCAGCCACAGCCATGCTTAAGACCACTCTCCACATGCTCGGATGAGTCTCATGCATGAAGGAACTGGCAGAGGAACCCAGGTGTGCAGAACCCAGGGCTGAGATCTACAAGCCTACTCAGATCAGGACTGGGCCTCCTCCACCCAGATCCCCCATCTTCCAGTACTAGGCAGCTACATACTACAAATAACTATATAAAATAAATATGTTGACATACCTTCTGGAATTCTTTGAAAAACTTTGCTCAAAATATCTCCAGTTATTATGTTGTAACTTATCATAGCTATAAGAAATAGATTAAATAATAGTCACCAAACCAACAAACCATTTCAACTTGAAAGCAATCAGTTCCTACTTCCCTAAGACCTGCATAATTCAACTATTATCAAATATATGTTATATTTATCAACATGCATTTCAAATAACTGAACAAGAGGTTTATCAAAGAATATCAGTTTATATTACAGATAAACTTTTATTTAAAAACAGATACTTTACAGAATATCCTTAAGTAATAATGAACGTGGTTTGTCAATTAATATGTGATCTATTTTGCTTTTAAAATTCAGTCTCCAAATACATTTCCAGGAACACATGTATTTCTCAGTATAAGGAAAATATAGCAAAGAAAATTAAAGAAAATAAAGTAAATAAAATTATGAAGATTCCAAACATCCCCACATTTTAAAATGTAAGGTTTCCTTGAAAGTGTATTTTTAGCTTTTAGTAGCAATTAAGAAACAATTGGTGTGAGCAACAGATTTTGTATTACTGATTTTAAGCATAAAATCAATTTGGCCAATGGTGAAAGTTAGCATTTTACTTAAGAATTTCACAGTAAGAGTTTACCTCATTTAAAACTTTCACATTTTCACCATTATGTTACAAACTTTAAATAGCATGCTGACTTTGTCCATGAATCTTGAGCTTTATAAAAATATATTTTAACCTTAGAAGAGACTCTATTACTTCCCTTTTTATTTCAAGATTATTTAATTTTTCCAAAGTAGGAAAACACAGCCTAATCTAATAAAACCAACTCTCTATTTGATTAATTAACTCTATCAGAAAATTAACTAAAAAGATTTGGAAAAGAGGAGAGTTGAAAAAGTTAACACTCTGAAAATATTTCCACTAAAAATATTCTTTAATTACATGTAGTAACTATTTTACTCAGAAATGGTTTTTGCAAACAATTATGACACTCATCTTCACATTCATCTTACCTATGAAAGGATACAAAAACTGCAAAACAGAAAGGAAGAGATACCCTGGAAAGCCGAATGTTTTATTGACCAAAGATTGGTAAGTGTCAGTTCCAGAGAGTGTCCCTCCTTTTATCAACAAAACAAGGGAAAAATCTGTAGCAAAAATACAAACAAAAGTCAGATTATCTTTACTATAAAGTTGGTATGTTGGTGTGGAGAGGGCTCTTGAGCAGTGCTCACGGTGCTCTGTGGGATAACTTCTAGAGATACTCAGTCACAGAGAAAGGAAGTTTCGGTGCTTAGTGCAGAACACAGTACTGGGGTTGGGTACTCAAGCTCAGTTGGGTATACAATTTGTGGCCCTGAACCTGGCCTTCTGAGCACTGAGATATATCATTAAATATTTTTTTCTTAATATTTCGGCAATCACCATTGAGAAGGGAAATTTTAGATTTTAATTTAATGATGCTACAGTATTCCTATGGCAAGGCTTACTTTCCTTTCATAATGCATTACCTTTCATGAAACAGTGCTATTTCCAGTTACTTATATACAAATATACTTAAGCATATCTGCTGGATGAACTGGATGGAAGAGGGGAGGCAGATAAATGTCAACACATCAGTTTTCTTTTCCCTAACTGATCAAGAAGTAACTAGCAACAGGAAGTGGTTCAGGTGTCCAAGCTATCCAGAACCTGGGCATTTATGCATGGCATAAGCACTCAATGAGTAAAAAAAAAAGAATAAAAAACAAGCAAGCAAACAAACAACCCCCCCCCCAAAAAAAAAAAAACACCACCATGCATGCAGAACAAACTTTAGGAGATTCAGAAAATAAGATTGTTTACTTAATAATAGAATATGACTAGCATTAAAATTGAAGGTGCAAATGCCTAGATAATATATAAATAAAAGTTACTCTCTTCAGGTTTTTGTCTTCAACATTTTTTAATATCTCACTTTAAAAGACAGAAATAACAACTTTTAGCTGTATAATTTTGAGTTTACCTGACTTTCCTGAATCTCACTTTACATAGACTATAAGCAAATCTAGAAGCATCTATAAAGATTATGGTGCTTAAGTATCTATTGTACGGGCATGACATAAATGATATATGAACAACAATGTAGGATGTTTTGCCTATTTAAAAACTTAGTTTGATGGCTGTGTGATTGTAGTAAAAGTATTATATGTAGAGTCAATAAAAGATAATGTGAAACAGAGTACTGTGAATAGGGAGGGTGTTTGCCTTGCACATGGTTCATTGGGTTTGATCCCCAGCATTCCCGTGGCCCGTGAGAACCTTCAGAAGAAATGCCTGAGTGCAGAACCAGGAGTAACCCCTGAGCATCACTGGGTGTGGATCAAAAGCAACAATAAAAGAAAACACACACAAAAAAGACAATGATAACCACCATAAAAATTCTAATTCTAATTTAATACTTTCTAAATAAAATTAAATTCTAATTTAATACTTTCTGTGTACCTGGCCTTTTCCTAAATGCTTTAAAGATGTTAATTTGCTCAATCTTTGCTACTTTATATAGGTGCTATTATATCTGATTTAATGGGAAAAGAGGAGCAGAGAAGTTAATTGCCTGATTTCAGAGAGCCAGTAATGAATCAGGACTCAGCTTAATAATGGGACCTAGAATTCATGCACTTAATCACAAAATCCCAATTCTTCTGCCATATATCTGCTGTCTGTAAGCAAGTGATTTTAACCTTTGAAGTTAGCATTTTCTCCTACTAAGAACAGCACATGAATATCTATGTCAATGAGTCAGATAGGTTAAGTATAATGATTATTTTTTGCTCAGTAGCTATACAACACTCAGAAAATGTAAAGATTATCATTACAAAGTAAATTTTATGAATGTATCCACAAACTTCTCTTATTCTATCTTTTTTCACTTACAAACATCCACCACTTCAGTCAGACTGAATTGTTACCAATTTTTATAATTTTATCCTTTCCATCTTTTTACATGTCCATATTTTTATTCTCAAAGGAAACTCTCTCATTTTTATACCCCTCACTCAACTTTTCCATAAACACTCCGGTGGAGGAGTCTTCTCTTTCCTCAAACAGGATGACTTCTCTGAACATGAGTTAAATGGCAGTACCCTTTCTTATCATCATAAACATGTTTTTATTATGACATTGTATGCTTGTCTGCTTAAGAAAATATTGTGAACTTCATACTTCAGGGATACAATTTTTCACTGCTACAATGGTAACAGTTGATATATAGGTTGAATGAATCAATAATCAATAAAGCACAATGATAACTGTGTATGTATCTGAGTGAGATGTAATAATGTAAATAACCTAATAAATGGATTTCAAATATTCCAAAAGTACAAAGTACATAGAAACAATTTTTTTCTTTTATATGAAATTTTAAAAAGCTTCAAAGAAGACTGTTTATCTTTGATGTATATGACACAATTTTATCAGGTATAGAAGAAAAAGAATGTCCAGCCTGGAGTGCTATTTATAGATGGCAGAAGAAAGTTTATTCTATATGGGGAACAGAACCAGAATAAATAGAGTAGATGGTATGTATATTTTTGGTGACAGGGATAGAGAAGATAGAGCAATTGGGAATGAAACTTAAAAAAAAAAGCTGGTCAAACTGGAAGTAATTTGTTATTTTTCTCCCTTTATTACCTGTATCTTTGATCATTCATTGTATGTTTTGATTAGAGGAATGAGGCTGGGGTTTTAGAAATGCAACACTTGTGGTAATATGGAGGGACTGATAAGTATAAATAGGCATGGAAAGAAGAAAAATTGCAGAGCAGCATTTCGGCCAAGACTAAGGAATAAAGCTTTGAATAAAGAAGATGGGGGGATATTCCATGGGTGTTATGAATTGTCTGTGAAAACCTATGTGGTTGGGATGAGACTACTGACAGTTTTAGGAAAGTTCTAAATACACCACTTACAGTTAACAATTTAGTGTGGATTACCAATTTCAATATAAGTGCTTTGCCTGTAAGGGAATGCCCTGCCACAGGGGCAAGGTGGGATGGGGGGACAGGGGGTGGGAGGGATGCTGGGACCCGTGGTGGTGGAGAATGGGCACTGGTGGAGGGGTGGGTACTTGATCATTGTATAACTGAAACCCAAGCACAAAAATTTGTAAGTCTATAACTGTACCTCATGGTGTTTCATTAATAAAAAGAAAATAAAATAAAAAACTAAAAAAATTTTAAAAAGAAAAAAAGAAAAAAAAAGTTTCAGAAATCTCAGAACAGGGAGGTAACTCAAAAGGCTGGACAGCAGGCACTGTATGTGAGAAGCTTGGGTGGGGTATGATTCTTGGCACTTTATGGTCCCCCCAAAACCATCCATAGGGAGCAACCCTGGTAAATGAGCTGCCAAGTACCACTGGGGATGGTCCAAAATCAAAGACCAAACAAAAAAGAGTTTTAGAAATTTTAGTTTTAGAAATGTCAGTCTCATTTGGAATATAAAGTGAAAATCTTAATCCCTAGAGTAATGTTTGCTCTTTAACAAGGACATTTTCTTTCAAGTCATTACATATGCATGGGCAGTAAAATTTTAAGTATTCTGATTAAAGTGTAAAAAAAAGAATTAAAAATGAAAATAAAATTTACAGTGGTAAATTTTTTTTATTAAAAATTTTTTTAATAGTGAAACATCATGAGGTACAGTTGCAGACTTACACATTTTTGTGCTTGGGTTTCAATTATACAATGATCAAATACCATCCCTCCACCAGTGCCCACTTCCCACCACCACGGATCCCAGTATCCCACCCCCATCCCCTCCATCCCACCCTGTCTCTGTGGCAGGGCATTCCCCTCTGTTCTCTCTCTCCTTTTGGGTGTTGTGGTTTGCAAAAGAAACATTAAGTAGCAATCATGTTTGGTCTATAGTCTACTTTCAGCATGCTTCTCCCATCCTGGGAGGATCCTCCCAACACCTTTATTTGGTGTTCTCCTCTTTATCTGAGCTCCCTTTTCGCCTAGTATGTGGGGTTGGCCTACACATCATGGAGTAAAATTCCTGGTACTAATCTCGGCCATTCTTGGGTGTTAGTTTCCTATTTTGTTACTTTATGTTCCCCAGATGAATGCAATCTTTCTATATCTATCCCTTTCTTTCTGAGTCATTTCGCTTTCCATGTATACTACTTTCCATGTAGTATACAGTGGTAAATTTTATAATTCATTTTTGTTCCTCAACATTTCTCAGATAAAAAGAGAATTTAGGAAAACTACGTGTTAAATGGGATAATATATTTTTAAGACCTTTAAAATACACAAAATAACTCAAGGCAAACAACTATGCATTTACAATATTTTAAGGAGTTATTCAGACCTGCTTGCTGCTCTGCCTTTCCAGGTATGGCTGGTCTCCTCCAAAGGACATCAATGGGCCTAATCTGAAACTGGAGGGAGACCTCCTCCTTACTGGCTAGATCCCCACAGCCTCCACACCCAACCTGTGCCATATAAACAGAACCCACATAATTTTCCTGTAGTGATAGAGCTACATAGCAAATTACATATTGCACATGGTTATTCTTCTTGTTACGGACATCTTAGGATTGGTGTTGGAGCATTGTATTCCTAAAACAACTCTATTAAGAAAAACTTTGTACATCAGAATGTCTTAACAAGAATTAAAATGAAAAAGAATAATCTACAGTGTATAAAGTGTGCTATTTTAACTTAAAACTTAAAACTTAAAACTACTAAATTCTTAGATGAGAGATATATATGTATATATATTTAATTTTTCTACATACCCATTTATAATGTGTTCAAATGTATACAACACACATAGGCCATGGTTGTGATATTTGGGTAGAAATTAATTGATTTTCAATGCTCACTTACTGGAAAATAGGAAATTAAAATGACAAGGGTAATTCCCCAGATGGAACAGTGATACAAGCTGTCACAACTAGAATGCAATTTATAAAACACCATCATATCAAAATAAATACAAACACATGGAAACTAGATTACTAAATAATGGCTGTATACTACAGATTAAGAGCTATCTTGAGTGTAGAAGCAGTAGGTCTGAGAGTAGGAGTTGTAAGAAAGCAGAGGACTGAGAAGACATCCTAGGGGTCAGTGTGAATGACAGAGGTCCTAGTTCCATTCTACGCAGCACATTCTCCTAAGCACCATTGGGGTGAAGCTGGGAGGCCTCTGGGCACTGTATTGTAAGGCCCTGCTGGTCTCTGGCATCACTGTGGTGGTCCAGGTGGTCTCCAGTATCAAAGACACTGAACAGCAGCACTTTGTGCAGTCTTAGCATTCAACCATCAGGCAGAGAATTGCCAGAAATGGCTCCAGGATACCCGTGGCACTGCTTGGGAGAATTCCACAAATAAACAGAAAATAAAACAGGGCAGTGAGGAATGGGGGATCTTGGCTCGAATTTTATATATCTTATAGGCTTCTCTCTCACTCAGGGAAAAAAATTAAATTGTGGGTTAGTATTGGAACTTTGAGATTTTATGATATGGCACGTTGTTCAGAATATCAAGAGCAGAACTGAGAAAGAGGTTCTTGGGGCAGGTGACTCCCTCAATAAATCCCCTCAGAAGAAGTGGTGTGAGAGGATAGACAGGGCAGGAGAAATGCTCAAAAAGGATGTGGTCTCACATGGAGGACAGCTGCAAACCAGTTGAGTAGAGGTGGTGCTTTGGGGCTCCAACTGTCACACACCTTGGTCCCCTCTCAAAGAAATTCCCTGTTTCCCAGTCAGTGAGAATGGAAAAAAAAAAACCAAAACAGCAGCTCTGGGGTTTCTATCAGTCATTGGCTCCCAGGTCTGGGGAATGGTAACTGGGTAGCCATAGTGTCACAGAAAAGGTCACTCCCTTGAGACCCAAGTAAATACACCAGAGAAAGGAACAGCTGAAATATTTTGTCCCATTTGGTAAAAGAGCATCGAGGGGCCCACTCATCAGCACTACAACAGCACCAAGCACTGCTGGTGACATCTGCTTATGGTTTTATTACTAAGGCCACTTTCATAGTGCTCTGTGGAGACAACAAACTGTTTGTTGTGAGGTAAGCTGATGAGATGACAAGGCAGAGATGAGAGCAACAGGAAGCAAAGAAGATTATGAGTTGTATAATCTACACCTAGGAGCAGTAGTGGTAAAATATGGATGTGAAGAAACATGTTACACACAGAAGGAGATGCAGAAGAGAAGTGAGAAACAACTGCTTGCTGCTTTAAAAGATGGTGGCAGGCAGAGAGCAAGGGCAGGCCTGGACAGAAGAGGGTGAGTCCTGCTGATTGAGCATCAGGATTTCATTTCTACCTGCACTAACATAGCTGGAAAATGTTGTTGATTGGTTTGCTCCTACCCATGAATTCTGTGGGAAAGAAAGCCCTGATGTCTAGACTTTCAGAGCCATAATCAAAGTTACTCAGCCATAATTAGCCTTTAAAATGACTCCATCATCTACCACTTGTGAGTAAAGTGGAAAAAGCACATGGAAAGGATTCAGCTGGATACGTTTTAATGCTTTTCTTCTTTTTCTAATCTGTTCAAAGGATTAGGAAGAAAAGCAAATCTCCTCCCACTGAAGTGTCTTAATTCTTTAGAATTCTTAAATGGGCTTTCTAATTAGGAAGTTCAACTGCAGTGTGAAAGTGTGTTGGTGGCTCTGTGTGTGTGTGTGTGTGTGTGTGTGTGTGTGTGTGTGTGTTTGTAAAATGGTCACAGTATATTTTAAGTTGCAGGAATAAATAATTACATAGTCTTACCTGTAACATATGAAACCCAGAATAAGAGTAATATTCCCAGAGGAAAGCCAGCTTGCTTCACTGAATAAGGTAATCCTGAAAACACATGAAATGCCCCACCCATAACATTAATAAAACATAGAACTACAGAGGTTTCTCCAATTTCTGAATCTAATAAGTTAGCACATTTACAAATTTATGTACAGTAGTTGGAGTAGATGGAGTTCAATGGGGTGACCATATAGGAAGAGAATAAAGTGAAAGCAGAACAATTTTTAAATAAAGCTGAAAGAGGTATATAAAATTATTTCTCATGAATTATTTAGGAAATGCACAGTTTAAGATTAAGAATACAATGTTTAAATTAAAATATTTCCACCCAAAATTTTTATTCTTTAAAAAAAATCCCCCAACCTGCTAAGCATAATTAAGAGCTTCTTTTTTTTTCAAAAAAAAAAAATTCTTTGAATGTTAAGCTGACATGGATCAACTTCAAGTGTTCACATCAGGAATTACTCTGGAACTCTGCCAATAGAATTGTGAGCCTGATACTTCCCTGATACATGAAAGCATAATTTCAAGCAAGTTTTTGGCCTCACTTGCTTCATTTTCAGTTCAGGTCCCTCTATTTTCTGTTCCACTTAAAAAAAAAATAAAGCATTGTCTCAGTATGGAAACAAGTGAAATCAAGACACATAAATGTGTGACTTGTGAAAGCCAATAGCTAAATCCAGATAAAATATTCAATGATGATTCTAACTAAAATAGCATAATTCTGTGGGAACAAGTTATATTCTTAATGAGTATTGCATTTTTCTGCATTCCTTTTTCCCTTGCATTTTCATCACTGAATGCTTTCAAATAGCAAAACAAATGGTCAGCACTGAAAAACAAGAACCTACAATGCAATATATTGATTTTTAAAATTTTCTCATTGCTTCTGAAAGTTGCTTCTAAACATTTATTTCTTTTCATTCTGATTATTTGACTCCTTTGATGTAAAAAATCTATATGCATTTTCATTAAGCCTATTTCATGATACTGTTTAAATGGTAAAGTTAATAAAATATAATATTTTTTACTTTAAAATATAATACAACATAGGTAGGTAAAGAAGTATTCATGAATATAACTTTTTATAAGATTATTACATTTTCACATTAAACTTTGTGAAGTTTTCCAATATTTCCAAATATCTGGAGGCTTTGCCCTTCTAGAGAGTCATAGAAAGGTGATGCATGGTAGAAATTTCATGTAGAGGTGGGGAAAAAAGTAATACTATCATTGCTCATGTAGTCTACAGAAAGAAAATTAGTATTTCTTATATACAAATCCACCTTAATCAAAGTCCACTGCTACATAGGACAAAAGAAAAACTATAATGGAATAAAATTACCAACATTATCAATTAATATTTTTTCTTTTAAAAGTAAGGAACACTAGCAGCATAGGAGTTTAAGTTTGACCTTTAACTTAAAATTAATACTTCAGAATTAAGGTTACTAGAGAAGAAAGAGAGTGGGAAGTGGAGCAAAAGCTAGAGGAGTGTGATGGCCTTTATTAGACGCTCTTTGGTGCTTTGGTGATGATTGCTGTAGTGTGAACCTGTATTCTGAAAATATATAGTGTGGTGAAACAATAGGATGGCAATTGAAAAATACCAAACATCACCACTTACCTATTGTCCCAGATCCTATAATGGAGTTGACAACATTAAAAACTGCAGCAAACTGACGACACGTTTTCCCTTTTTGTTCAGAAAGGAGAGTTTCTCTATCATCCGAACAACTCTGTTTTTATTCAAGACAATTAAATATTGAATAATGAAAGAAATTAGAAAACGTTAGACGAATATCCAGTGTTGGTCTACAAGACACTGGAAATAACACGTAACGTGAATATCAAGAAGAAAATGATGAAGTGAATAATTATCAAGGTAAATAATAAGAACCAGTAGTTCAGCTGAGCTATGGAAACTGACTCCACCACACTGGAGAGAGGTTTCAAGGCCCCCCCCCTCCCCCCCCCCCCCCCCCCCCCCCCCCCCGGCCAGTCAGAGACCTGGCAAAGATTTCCAGAGAACTGGATTTATAGGGAGCTGAAGATGTGACACTTGTGAAAGTAAATGGGTTATACTAAACCCCCCCTACCAAGAAAATAAAAAGTAGATGAAGGCAAAGCTTTTCTGTCGGGGGTGGGGAAGGGAACTTTCTGCGGTTCTAACCCAAGACCCAGAGTGGAAGGAATCCCACCTCTAGGGCAGGGAAATGGAAAGTGATAGGCCTCTTTTCAAAAGCTGGCCCTGCCTCCAGTTTTACCAGCAGCTGGGGACCCATGGCTGCACCGAGGTCCGAGCCGGCGGTGAAGTGTTCGCGGGTCTGGATACGCCGCAGCAGCCGGGCGAAGTGGCACTCCCGGGATCTGTGCGCGGCTGGAGGGAGCGGCCCGTCTGCGCGGCCCGGCGGGCGGCGCGGGCTGTTGCCGGGAGTCCTCTAGCCTGCTCCCAGCCAATCGCACCTTCCGCCAGCAGCCAAGATGCTACCCGGGATTCTGAGCTGGGCCGCCCTCTCCGCCCGCACCCCTTTCCGCCCCCGCCCCCCACCTTTTTTTCCCGTATCTTCACCCAGTCGGAGGGATAGTGTCTTCATTTAAGCCCGTTCCCCTAATTAACTGCTTTTGAGCTAGCATCTGAATATAATCTGAAACAATCTGAAGCCCAGGTAAGAACGCAGATTGCTCTTCGCTTTCTGAGGACGAACATCTCTAAGTGAACACAGGCTTCCACCTTCCTCCCTGGTATTGACAGAAATGCCAAAGAGGACATTTAGGGCTATTATTAAAATGGAAAATAAACACAAGAAAAGAAAACACTTCTGTCGAGGTTTGGTAGACTTGATTATGGAGCAAGCTTTGGTCAAAAGTTTTCCTAGTGAATTAAAAAAAAAAAAAGATAGGGGAAGGTAGCTGAATTGGAACAAATTATGATTTTGAGAGTATTTGATCTCCAAAGAATTTGAAGTGACCGTTTAATCGTTTTTTTTTTTCTTTTCAACAGAAGATAGAATTGGGACCCAGAGCATATTCAATCTCCCCAAATACAGAAATACACCTAATGTAATATTAGTGTTAATCAAATAAATTGGGCTGGAGCGATAGCACAGCGGTAGGGCGTTTGCCTTGCACGCAGCCGGCCTGGATATATTCAATATGCCAAACACAGTAACAAGTCTCAAAATGGAGACATTTGCTGGGCCCGCTGGAGCAAATCGATGAACAACGGGAGGACAGTGCGACAGTGCGACAAATAAATTATAAATAGCTTTTCCCCCATAATCATTTAAAGTCAAGAAGTATTTTTTTTAATAAAACACTGGAAAAGTAAAGAGAATGCTAAAATAAATCCCATGTATTCACCTATAAAATTATCAAATATTAATATTTTCTTTTCTTCAGGTTGCAAAAATAACATTAATAGGGGCCGTAGCAATATTGTAGTGTGTTTGGCGCTCACCTTGAACGCAGCCCACTGAGGTTCAATCCTCGGCACCCATATAGTCCCCCATACTTAACCAGGAATGATCCCTGAGCACAGAGCAGAGTTAAGACCTGAATACTACAGAGTGGGGCCCCATAAAACAAAAAATAATAATACATAATATTTACTGCCACCACAGGAAGCTTTTCTCCTGTTTCTGATCCTTTTCATTCATCCAATTCATGAACTTGGTGTCAGTATCTTGAATATGCATGTTTTTTATTCTAATTCATGCGTTGGTGGCCACAAATGATGTGTTGGCAGCCTTAGAACGCTGAAATGTGTTTTTAAAATTTACAAAACGATATCATAGTGTACATGTTATTTTCACGTTCAAATATTCTTTTTTTTTTTAAATTACACGTTCAAAAATATTCTGAGTGGGTGTTTCATTGTTCTGTTTTGTTTTGAGCCACACCCTGCAATCTTCAAGGAAAACTATCTCCCCAGTCCCCTGTTTATTGTTTTTAAGATGTGTGGTGCATAAATATGTAGACATAGTTTATTTTTCCTCTGAAAGGTATTAAGGTGCTTTTAATTTTACACATTGTTGGAGCCAAAAAGTGTCAGTTTCTCTTGAAGCAGAATTGCTAGAACAGAGTTTTTTACACATTTTTAACTTCTCTAAATATTTCCAAATTCCTCTGCAAATTGATAGTACCGATAATATTTCTATTAGCAGAGATGAGATGGGATTCCTCTTTACTGCACTGTCAATATCAGAGATCTAATTACCATTTAAGTTTTGTTCTTCTGATGAATTTTTAGGTCTCCCCTCTCCCCCAGAGGAACCATGACTCAATAAAGGACTTGGCACTTGTGAGACATAAGCTGCACCACTGAGCTATGGTCCCAACTGAAATTCTGAAATTCTTTCCTTCTCTTCCCTCAGGGCTAACAGGACAGTAAACATAAGAAAATTCTAATTCTTTATTTTATTATTTTTAATGTTGAGATTGAATCCTGGGTCTCACACATGCAAGGCATGCTATAACATTGATCCACATCTCTATTCACTGATATATCTTTTAAAAGGTACATTATTATTCTGTTAATTTGTATTATTGTCATCTGCAGTGAGGTGAAAGATTTTTATGATATTAAAAAATATACTTAAAGATTTAGGTTGTCCTCTTTGTGAATTTTATTTTATATTGCTTTCCCTATCTTGGCTTGGTTATTAATCTTTCCCTTATTTATTTGTAAGAGACAGATATCAATATATTTGGGGTACTAACTTCATACCAGTTCACTTTTTTGTATATCTTTTTCCAACTTGTTTAAAAAATTATAGATTTTTAAGTCATCAAATGTTTACAACTTGGAAATATTCAAAATTAGTAACTATGATCATAATATAAGGTACCTTAAGAGAAAGAAATTGTAATCTTATTTCAAAGTTACAACTAAAATATGTCAAAAAAATGCTAGTAAACTTAATTCAAAAGGGTATGGAAGGGCCCAGAGCGATAGCACAGTGGTTGGGGCATTTGCCTTGCACGCAGCCGACTCGGGTTCAGTCCCTGGCATCCCATATGGTCCCCTGAGCACTGCCAGGAGTAATTCCTGAGTGCAAAGCCAAGGGTAACTCCTGAGCATTGCTGGGTATGACCCAAAATAGGAAAAAAAAAAGGTATGGAAAATTTAACCAAACAATTTGAACATTGAGAAGTAAAACTAACTAAAAAATGCCCTAATTTCACTCATCAACAGTTTATAAGGAAAAGCAACGTAATTAATTTACTATGTCTGTCACTGTCCTCCCATTGTTCATCAATTTGCTCGAGTGGGCCAGTAACGTCTCCATTGTGAGACTTCTTGTTACTGAGTTTGGCATATCGAATTCTCCACGGGGAGCTTGCCAGGCTTTATCGAGTGGGTGAGATACTCTCAGTAGCTTGCTGGGCTATCTGAGAGGGGCGGAGGAATTGAACCTGGGCTGACCAGGTCGGCTGCGTGCAAGGCAAAAGTCCTACCACTGTGCTAACACTGCAGCCCTAAGTGTCACAATTAATTTACTATATTCAGAATAAATATCTGATAATATTGAATTTATAATTGAAGAAATTGATGAGCTCTAGCAAATATCTTACTAATGAAGAGTTTTGAACTCCTTTCTATTTTATTAGGAAATGAAACAAAATATCACCCACAATCATTGCTTTTTAAAGAATTATGATATTGCTTGGAGCAGAAAAGCAAATGGACTATGTGTTAAACCGCGCCAGCATGCCTGCCTGGAGGGGAAAGGGTGTTGCTCCATTCGCCCAATCCTCTCCGGAAAGAAAGAAGGCGGCCGCACAGGAGCCTTGTGGACAGCAGGTTTGAGCCGGGGGTGGGGGCGGCAGGGACCTCATGGGAAGGGGGGCGTTCTGGGCCCCCCACGAGTGGCTCTCCGGCACGGCCACGACTCCAGAGCACAGAAACCAATCTCTTAACTATCTAACTTTTAATAGAAATACTTCCAGGGTTAATAAGTAAAATAGCAGAAATTCAAAAACCGCGCGGCATCATTTTATTCTTAAACCCAGCTGTAGAAAGCAAATCATTTCACAATGCTGTTTCAGCATGTCTGATTTTGGGGGGGGGGTCATAAACTCTAAACAATAATTGTGCATCTTCTATTGAAACAATGTATCTAGTCAAAGTAGATAGAGTATTAACTAGAACTCATCTGCCTCACAGGAATTGGGAGGGGTGGGAGGTGGGGATCTATTGGGGTTCGCGGTTAAAAATAAGTATTGGTAAAGGGAAATGTGTTTGATATTTACATGACTGAGACCTAAACCCGAAAGCTCTGTAACTTTTCCCACAGTGATTCAATAAAGAAATAAATTATTAAAAAAAATGCACAAAAAAAAAAGAATTATGATATTGCAACCCCAAGTATAAAACAAGAAAGGAAACAGAAGTTAAGATTGTGAGATTATAAAGTAGAAATGAAGCTACAAATTATCAAAAAGTTATTTTTAGAGGAGAAACTCAAAACTATTTTTAGGGAAAATTTTAGAAATGATTAGACAGTTGGGGCCAAAGAACTAGCACAGTGGTTAGGGCACTTGCCTTGTGTTCAGCCAACTCTGGTTGAATCATATCTATGGTCCCTCAAACCAGCCAGAGTGATTTCTAATTGCAGAGCCAGGAGTAAACCCTGAGCAAAGCAAGGTATGACCCCCCCCTCCCAACAGAAAAACAATAACAAAATAATAATAAGAAAGTCTAGGAAAGCAACAAGACAAAATGTTTTTCTGAAGAAATTACATTTTCAGTAACAAATGATTATTATCAAGAAAATTTATGTTTTCACTTGATCATTTGGCATCCCATTACTCATCGATTTGCTCGAACAGGCGCCAGTAATGTCTCCATTTATCCCTGTCACGTGCTAGTGCAGCCCAATGGTGTCTACTGGCTCCAGGAACATGAAGCGCCTCAAACCATTCGTTCAGGGTCTTGATGAAGAAGTCTGACCATCTTGTAGGTGGGTGGCCACGCGATCTTTTGACATCCCATGGAATCCAGTCCATAATGGCTCTAGTCCAGCGGTCATCTCCAAACTGCATTACGTGTCTAGCCCATCTGATTTTCAATGCTTTGGCAAATGGGACTGCATCCTCAATTCTTGATTGTCGACAGAGGTTGGAAATCCGGATTCCTTCTCTCACTTGAGTGAAGCATGATACTCCAACCATAGCTTTTTCGATTCCTCTTTGGGAGACCCGAATAGTGTTCTCGTCCTGTTTTCATAGGGCCCAGGTCTCTGAGGGGTATGTTCATGCAGGAAGAATGGTGGAGTCAAAGAGATGTGCCCAGAGCTAG